TCTAGTGTAGACGTGACAAAATCGATCCCCGATCGCTCTGCCGTCGACTCCAGAACTCCCACCACGGCGAGAGGTGGAAGCGGAGTCAATGGGGGAGCAGCAGCGGTCAACTTGCCGCCGTCCTCACGGCCAGGTAAATCGACCTAAGATACACTGACTTCAGCTACACTATTCGCGTAGCTGAAGTTGCGTATCTTAGGTCGACCCCCCCACCCCCCGCTAGTGTAGACCTAGCCTTAGATTCGACTATAAGCTTTTCAGAGCAGGAACCATGTCTTTTTGTGTATTTGTACAGCAGCTGGTATAATGAGACGCCAATTCAAACTGGAGAAATACTGAAGGAAGATTTACTTATGGTAAATGCAGTAGAAGATTTGTTTAAAAGGAGGCCATTTTTGTAAAAAGACAGCACTGTACTTCTGCCACACAAAGAAACATTTTTATTTTTATTGGACACACTAGTGCTAGTCATAAAACTTCCTGAAGTTTAATTCATAAATTGATATTCTCTGCACACTGGTGCCAGTGCTATATCTTCATCCTCATTTTCTTTACCCCTTGAAAGTATTTCTCCTGTAGGCTAAGAAATTTGAGTTGATAAATGACTTCCTATACCATAAGTAACATACAAGTTTCCTGCCTGATTAGTTCATGTAATTTATTAGAAAATTTACCTTGTATGATGTAAATAGTTTGTGACCAGCATCTACACACTACTCACAAAATAGGACAGTCTACATAGGTAGGTTTGCCTCTAAATTAAATTTCTTTTCAACTACCTACATATACAGTCATATAGAAAAAGACAGTCACGAAAACTAACCTTAACAATTCTAGTGATCTTTTAGCATATACTTAGTTCAGACAATTCTACACTTAATCTTAACAATTTATCTGGAATTACATTCCACAAAACTGTAGCCAGGAACAATACAATTCCCTGTCGTTTTCAGATCATACCTTAGCTTTTTACAATTCCACAGCAACTGATCTCAGATTTTAAATGTTAGCTAACGAGGAACAAGAGAGTCAGTAAGACTATATAAAGTAGTAATTAACCACTTCAACACACAGCTCTCATTCCATAAATTAACGAAGATCTATTTAAGTATCTAAGATTTGATTACTGTATCACCGGATGTTGACTGATAATAGGGATGTAACAATATTCAGATGGACCTCCAAAACACAAATTATAGCTCCCTATGCAACTTCAATTGTATGCCCCTTTCTGGCACTGAACCAAAACATTAGTTTTAAACTACAACACGCTTTGTCAGACCCTGACAAAATTTCTTATCTACACTTATTCACCATTTATTAAAGAGCACCCATCCAAAACTCAATGCACCTTGCTAAATGTTAAGAATGCAATCACACTAATCTAAACAAAAGCAAAGCCATCAGCCTACCTAAATTAGAAAAAGAACAAACCCACCCTATCCCAAAATACTAGCTTCCTGGCACACAGATCCCTGCCCTCAGATCACCTCTTCCTTCCCAAAAGCCTTGAAGAATGCCCCAAAGATCAACAGCTTTGGGCTATTCTGGAATGGAAGATGAGAGTGGTGCATGAATTCCAAAGCTAAAGGCTTCTTAGCAGCTCCATCTCTTCTAAATAAAAGGGATTCTGGCTCACACACATCCACTGATCATAACTGTGGCAATATGGTCTGGAAAGAGAGATGGTCTTTCAGACCGACACTCCCAAGCCAATTAGAACTTTATAAATCAAAAATACCACTTTAAACTCCACCCAGAAACCAGCAGGCAGCCAGTGTAGATCATGAGCTCAGAGTGAGAAATTTCACATAAGAAGTGAGCAACCGCATTCTGCACTAGCTTCAGTTCTTGAGTTGATATATTGTGTAGTCCCACATACAGTAAAAATTAGATTACTGCAGTGCATTGTAACAAAGGTATGGATCATGCAAGTGGTTTGCATCCAAAATAAATTATTGCAATCTCAGAGAGGCAGTGAGGTCTAGCAGACAGAGCACTGAACTGGGATTCAGAAAACCTGGATTCTATTCTCAGCTCTGCCACTGGCTTCCTGGGTGACCAAGAAGCAAGTCAATTTACCTCTGTTTCCACATATGTAAAATGGGGATTTAAAGCACTGAGATCTCTATGGATGAAAAGTGCTATATATGAGCTAGGTATTAGTATCTTCTCATCAGACATATATGAGTCTTAAATGATCATCTAACAGCAGCTAGGGGTCCAACACTACTCTCAGACTATAGTAATAAATAGTGGAAACATACCTTTCTTTAAAATGGCAGATATAACCCCTGCCATATCTTCTAATTCCTTCTCCCAATTTACCAACATCTCTAATTTTATCCAGATGGAATTTAAGCCACTGAACTCTCATCCACGTTCCAATCTCTACTGAAAATAGTAGGTAGAACATTTGAAAACATTGGATGGGTCAGATGAAGGATCTATAGAACTGGATGTTTGTCAGTATTCTGTAGACACCCCAATCCATACCTCTTCATGGGTACTTTAAATAAGGGGGTGGGGTGGGGACAAATCTTAGAAGGTGACAATGTTTAAGGAGCATTTCATCAATGTTTGAGTACAAAAGATCAATATATTGTCCCATTAAGCCATCAATTTTTGCTGGGAAAATATCTCCCCTCACAGCCATCCAGAAACACTCAGAGTTCAACTAACCTCCAAGAGTAGACCATCAAAATAAGTCCTAAATGGAGAGGACTGCAACCTGAAACTGCAGAATACCACACCTGGCCGATGACATGGGTAAAATTTTCAGTTGCCCCACTTCCACTCCCAAATGCAAACACCAGTCAAGAATGTGGCCAGATAAATAAGTTGAGCCAGAAACTACCTGGGATAGTGGCTATGAAATCCTGAACTATCTCAGAAGAGATATCCTCAATGAAGATACACCTCCACCCCGATATAACACTAATTTGGACATAACGCGGTAAAGCAGCGCTCCGGGCGGGGGAGAGGGGCTGCGCGCTCCGGTGGATCAAAGCAAGTTCAATACAACGCGGTTTCACCTATAACGCGGTAAGATTTTTTGGCTCCCGAGGACAGTGTTATATCAGGGTAGAGGTGTATTAGAGTCACTGAGCGTTATTAGCCTCAGTGTCTCCAACCCCACCTTAGTGGAAAATTAATAGTTCATGCAGAGACTTTGCAGTGGACACTAACACAAGTCCCATGGTTCCTGGACATACATGCAAGATAAATATGTTGTATTTAGGCTTGGCAAAATTTGGGGGTTATAATATAATTTTGAAGGATAACATCGATGTTTATTCTTAAGCATTTTTTTCCTATTTTTGTCTATTTAAATTCACAGTTGCACAAAATTATGGATTTTAAGCATTTTTTATTTGTATTATCCCCATAATTAAAAATGTGTATTATCAGTCAACAGGGGGTGTCAGTCAATTATTCATTGACAGTAGACGCTGAGATTCAAAAAGTTAAAGCCTTATAACCATTAAAACCCAAATTGGCAACACCATGTCAAAATATACAAAGTAAATATTCTTAAAACCAGCTCTGATAAGTTCTTAAACAGCATTTTTCTTACTTTGCCTATCTGCATTTTTTGATTATTATCAATATAAATATTTTTGTTAGTCTGTGTCTATGGTGAAATTAAGATTTACCAATAAAAATCTAACCCTTCCAAGCCTAGCTGTATTTGATCCAGTTTAGAGGTGAAAAACTTGCACTTCTGGCAGGATGCAAATAGCACAGCCACAATACCACCCTTTCCTAACTCATTCCCTTCCTCTCCTCCATTTCGGTGGCCCTTTCTTTATCACCTCTCCTCAAATGGAATTATGCAAACGCAATATTTAAAAAAACAACTGAAGCTAAGAACTTCAAGCATGGCTTGCTTTATAGTTCTCATAGAAGAAAATCAAGTGTGAACAAACTCAATTCAATATGTGTAAAGTTAACACGAGGGTCAAATGTAGTCCTGCCATAAACTGGTACCACTCCTACTGACTTCAGTGAGAGTTCCACTGTCTAATGCCAAGGATGAATTTGGTCAAGTTGGAACATATACGTGTGTTCAAATTCCCTCCCCCCCACACCTCCCTTCTCTCATTTGTTCATTACAATGCTCAAAACATAGAGCAACTTGGAATGCTGTGCATGCTTAGTTGTTTAAACTGGTCTCTTGGGTTAAGGTCATGCAGGTTTAAGGGGTATTGCTAAAGAGCTAGATTATAACCTTACAATGTGGTGTGAATAAGAAGTGGGACATAGCTGCACAGTGTCAGAATCAGACTAGAAAATGAGTTCTGACTTAGAGAATCACAAACATAAAAACAAATACAAAGACAGTGATATAGGCCCTAAAAAATGTGACACTACCTTTGTTATGGGAAATAACACGAATTAGGCAGTGTTGCTTACTTTATAGAACTACTCAACTGCAATGGGGATAATTATATGTGAAAACGCTGTCTAAAAATATTTCAGGTCCAATACCTAAATTAAATACCTGACAATAAAAAAATACAGTAGAACTTTACTTATTAGTAACTCCTTCTAGATACGTGATTTTTGATAATTAGCAAATTAATTACTAAACAAGATTGGTACATCACAAAATGTGATTTGCTCATTTATTTTGTCAACTGCAGTTTGTAATTAATGGTCTGATATTTTGAAATGTACTAGTAGCACTCCAGTATATTTTGTAACAGTAAGGAGTTGTTACTAAGATTTCAATAGGGCACTCGAATTTTTTTTTTTATTTTTTTTTTTGGAAAGGTCAGGAAAGACCACCAGTTTTGTATATGGATTATAAAGTGACCAAAAAAGTAAATTTCTACTATTTTTTAAAAATCCAGAAACTACCTTGGTAAACACAAAATATATCATTTTTTATTTGCATTATTCATACGATTTTAATTTGTTAACTGTTAATTAAACCACTTACAATTTTAGCAGGAATCAAAATACTTGTTGTAAAGGTTAAAAATAGTTGTTCCTACCTCTACTTTTGTTCGATAAAGGATGAGACGCTTAAGACTGCACACTTTGGCAATGTGGTTGAAAGCCTGAGGTGGTAGCTTATCACAGGAGGAGAGATTTAATTCCTGAAGGTTTGGACACATCTCAGCAATGACCTCCAAGCAAGTCTCATTGAGAAAATGGCCACAAGCCAACTCAAGGCGCACTAGTTCAGAGCCACAAACTTTCAGGAACCTGTAAAAAGCATGTATTATATGAATTAAAAGGGGGGGGGAATTATAGTTTTCTGTGGAAATTTTGGAACACTGTCAAAAACAAGTGGATACTGTTGAAGAATGTTTTTTTTTAGCAAGGAAAATGTACAACCTGCATTACTTACATACTGTTAAATTAATCTGCAAACTAAAAATATGCATGGTTAGCCTAAAGTAAGTTGATTGTAACAGACCTGAGGAAATCTATTAAATGGCAAAAAAACTAAAAAAAAATCATGGGTCAATTTGATGTCAAGGTAAGAGATCAAGCACTCAAAAGTGAAGATATTCCGAAAGTTATGTTTACTCCATCAACATTCACTCAAACATGTTGCATATCCTGAATAGTCTTTGGTGTTCTCCAATGAATCATACAATAAGGCTGACAGCGGTGTGCAAAGAAGGCAATTGCCCAGGGGTCCGGGCGATTTAAAAAGGCCTGGGGCCACCACTGCTGCCGTGGTAGCAGCTGGGAGCCCCAGGCCCTTTTAAATCGCCTGGGTGGGACACCCACTGGCAGGTCCCTCCTCCCCCTCCAGCACCGGGCCCCGCCAATCAGATTGTCCTCATCCTCCCCAGTGCCTCCCGTCCGCCGCCAACTGTTTGGGGGTATGCTGGAGGCACTGGGGGAGGTGGGAGGAGGGGGTGAGAAGAGGCGGGGCAGGGACGGGCCTGGGCAATGCATGGTCCAGATGCCAGGAGTGGAAGGGGCGGGACCAGCCCCTTCCAGCCGCTGAGATGCTGCTCCGCAGCCCTGTGCAACAGCTGCCTGAGAGAGCCTGGCTAGGGAGATGAATTCCGCTCCCTGCCCAGGCTCGGGTGTTGGGGTCCCCGGCAGCCGACCCGGGCGGGGAGCGGAAGCCACCTCCTCCCCAGCCAGGCTCTCTCTGGTAGCTACCGGGCAAGGCTGCAGATCAGCGACCGAGAGGGGCCGGCGTTAAAAGTGGCTCCCTCCTGCTCCCTGCCTGGGCTCCTGCCCACCAGGGAGAGCAGCAGAACGTGGCAGGGGTGAGGCAGGTGCATGTAGAAGCCCTGGCTGTGTTGGAAGAGTGCATCCAGCAGCACAGCTGGCAGCTCGCTGGGCACCAGTGGGGGCCCATTGACTGTTCTGCCCTGGGGCCCGGAATTGCTGTCGGTGGGCCTGCAATAAGGTTTACATTTAACAAAGGTAAGAAGAGAAGAAGATACTAATTACTGGTAGTAGTAAGTTAATTTTACTAGAGCAGCCCGAAAGCACAACTCTACTGGGAAAAGGGTTTGGAAAAAAGGTGTTGTGTTTGTTTAAATTACAAACTTTTTTTTTTCTTACTACCAGCCCTGCAAACTAAGTTTAGGAAGTGAAAGTTGAATTCTGTTCCTTTCTTGTGACTTACCAGTTACTCTTGACTTCAAATGCAACCAAATATAACAGAGATCCTGTTTTGTTACAATTTTAAATGACCACTGTAATTCTGATTTTGACATTGGCCTACAACTTTCTGCCTGAAGTAAGTCTCTGCCCATGAGAAAAATGTGAGAGAGAGAAAGTTTGAGGTTAACTGGATAAGACATTTGAAAGCTAGGGGATCTGAGAAAAACTAGTGTTTCATCACTGTTAGAAAAATTGTTCTATTTCATTTTGTCCACAAATAAGTCAAATGATCAATGTAAAAATTTAAAGCTTGTTTTACAATATACTAATCCTCAAGGAGAACTAATCCACAGGAGTAGGTTGGTGTGAAAAGGTTTAAGCTATCAGAGACTAAATATTCAAAACACCTAGAAACTGTGAGGGTCTCCGTATGCATTACAACAACTTCTGTTGGAGGTCTGTTGAGTTCTACAAGCTCTGTTCCATCTAATCTAAGCTTTCTTTAAAAGAGTAGTAAGCTCATAGTTCCTTTTCATTGCAAAGGAAACCTTCAAAATGTAAATCAATCACAAGGTTTACAAGTTTGATATTGCATAAAATCATATATATTTTAATATTCTCTAAGTTTCAACTGTTTCTCCAACAGAAGAGACTAGCTGAGCCCACCCCAGTGCTTCCTGGAGTGATGGAGTCCCTGTAAGTAGGGGGCAGATGCCTGCTTTGGAAATTTGTCTACTTTAGAGTATTTTAGAAAAAAATATTCCCATTGGTGGTAGCACTAATGCAGTTGCACCATGAAAAGCCTAGTGCAGTTAAGGCTGCCATAGCTTCAGACATTTTTAGCATCAAGCCAATTAAAGTCTCCTGAACATGTTTAACTGATATAGTGGAAAAATGCTTTAAGTTATCAGAGCCTTTTCTACAGCAAGGCTCATACTGCTGCTGCTGAACCGGTGTTGGCTCAAGTAGGATTATTATTGTTATTTTTTTTTTGCTAAACTTGCTGAGGGTTAAGAAGAAGCTGGACACTTAAGAGAAGCAGGATCCAGGGGGACATGCTCCAAGCATCCTAAACAATATGACACTTGAACTCCCTGGTTCCTTCATGTAGTGTCTAAACGATCAAATCTCCAAGCCTTCTCTTTCTGGCAGAAGTCTAATCTAGCCATTCACTCATTCATCCCACCCTTCCTTCCCTTTCTTTCTCTCCAATGAGTCATTTTCCCTCATTTATTCCATACTTTACATTATCACCCTCCTCTCCTTTTCCCTCACTCTCGCTTTCATTGTCCATCACTTTCTCCTTCTCCCTATTCCATGCCCCCTTCTTCCTCATTTTTTTTCCATTAGCATGCAAGACGAAAGGGGAGGCCCTAGAGTCTATTTCCTTTTCCCCTAACTAGTTAGTGCAAGAAATATGTGGATTAAGAGGGAAAATGAGGCACCTTCCTTTTGGACTGGAAGTACCATAGCCCCCTAAAAGGAAGGAGGAGCCCCACCATTATGGGCGGTGCTTGTCAACAAAGTAGCTGTGCAAATGTGGTGCTTAGGATGGAACCCTAGTTAGGTCCCTTTCTAAACCTCTTCAATTGTTTTTTGAGCAACCTCAGTGCCTCTCTGTAGAGTCATCTGTTATGTAAAATCCGATTTTGGTAAACACCTGTTACCCATTTGCAGTTTTCACATACACTACAGTTGTAATGAGAAACAACCACCTAGCAAATTCAACACTGATGACTTAAAAATAAGAATAACTAGTAGGCTTTTCTAGGACCATGTCATAGATTCATAGAGTTTAAGGCCAAAAATGGCCATTAGATCACCTCATTCGACTTCCGCTATATATCACAGTCTATTGAATTACACCCAGTTACCTCTGTACTGAGCCTAATAACCTGTATGACTGAAGCATATATTCTAGAAAGGCATCCATTCTTGATCTGAAGACATCAAAAGATGGAGCATCCACCACGTCCTTTGGCAGTTTGTTCCAGTTTAATCCTCATGGTTAAAAAATGCTTAATTTTCTATTTGAATTTGTCTAGCTTCAGCTTCCAGCCACTGGTTCTTGTTATGCCTTCTTCTACTAAAGAGCTCTTTAGTACCCACTATTTTCCCCTTGTGAAGATACTTAATACACTATAATTGTCACTTTTCTGATAAACTAAACAGATTGAGCTCTTTGTCTTTCACTGAAAGACATTTTCTCCAACTCTTAAATAATTTTCGTGATTCTTTTCTGCACCCTCTCTCTAATTTTTCAACATCCTTTTTAAAATGTGGACACCCGAATTGTATGCAGTATTCCACTATCAGTCCCACCAATGCCACAGACAGAGATAAAATAACTTCTTACCCCTACTCACTATTTCTATTTATGCATCCATGGATCACATTAGCCTTTTCTGCCAAAGAATTGCACTGGGAGCACATGTTGAGATGCTTGTCCATTATGACCACTAACCCCTTTTCAGAGTCAATGCTTTACCTACAGTAAATCCCCATTCTGTAGGTATTGCCTGCATTCCTTGTACCTAGATGTATAACTTTGCATTTGGCTGCATTAAAATACATTTTGTTTGAAGTCCAGCTTACCAAGTGATACAGATTGCTCTGTATGACTGCCTTGTCCTCATTATTTACCACTTCACCAATCTTTTTCATCCACAAATTTTTATCAGCAGTGATTTTATATTTACTTCCAGATAATGTTGAATAGCATCAGGTTTAGTACCAATCCCTGCAGAACTCCACTGGAAACACACTCATTTGATGACCACTCCACACTGACAACTACTCTTTGAGATCTGCCATTAGCCAGCTCTTAATCCATTTAATGAGTGCTTTATTGATATTGTATAGTTCTAACTGTTTAATCAGAATGCCATGCAGTACTAAGTCAAATGCCATACAAACGTTTAAATATATCACATCTAAGGAGTTATCTTTATTAATCAAACTTGTAGTGTCATCAAAGAATGAAACCGGGTTTGACAAGACCTATTTTCCATAAAATCATGTTGACTGTGATTAATTATATTCCTATCCTGTAATTCTTTATCAATTGAATATTGTATCAGTTTTTCCACTACAGTAGAACCTCAGTGTTATGAACACTTCGGGAATGGAGATTGTTCGTAACTGTGAAAAGTTCCTAACTCTGAACAAAATGTTATGGTTGTTCTTTCAAAAGTTTACAACTGAACATTGACTTACTACAGCTTTGAAACTTTACTATGCAGAAGAAAAATGCACCTTTTAACCATCTTAGTTTAAAAGAAATGAGCACAGAAACAGTTTCCTTACCTTGTCAATTTTTTTTTAAACTTTCCCTTTATTTTTGTAGTAGTTTATGTTTAACGCAGTACTGTACTGTATTTTCGTTTTTAGGTCTCTGCTGCTGCCTGATTGCATACTTCCGGTTCCAAATGAGGTGTGTGGTTGACGGTCAGTTCAAAACTCTGGTGTTCGTAACTGTATTTTTTCTGGGACTGATTTGAGGCTAACCAGTCTAGTGTTACCCAGGTCATCCTACTTGTCATTTCTGAGCACTGGCACAACATTAGCACTCTTCCAGTCTCCTGGAATTGCCAAGGTACTCCAAGATCTATTAAAAATTAAGATCAGCA